TAAATACAGTTATGTAAAATGCTGCTTTAAATTCAAGTGTGACAGCTAATTTCCTTTCATATCCCTACACTCTACATCCCAAATAGTTACTTTTTAAAATGTTAGTGTCCGCATTTGTTGGATATTATTAAATATTATCAAGATGGAATACTAGTGAATCTTTTTAAAAATAAAACATTGAAGAAGATTAAAAAACAAAACAAAAAATCTCAAATACTTCCCTCAATCCCTGTTACTGAGGAATTAACCCAGAGCCTCATGAAAGCTAGGTAAGCACACCATCACTGAGCTATACCCCAACCCTTTTTATTTTGAGATAGGATCTTTTAAATTTCCCAGGTTGGCCTTGAGCTTGTGATCCTCCTGTCTTAGCCTCCCTGCTGAATTTAGACATGCAACTGTGCCTAGCTTGAAGTGCCTCTTCTTTACTGAAGAAAGATGATCCTTGAATAGACTAATTTTAGGATTCTGCTCCTGTTGAAAGTGTATCATGAGTGAAATATGTTCTACCTGGTATTTTCATACATAGTTCAATTTTGATCTGCTTTCAAATATTGGGAGAATGATTATCTAAAATTCCTGTCTGTCAAAGTGAATATGGTTTAAAATAAGAGTAATTACCTCTTAAGACAAGAAGACAGGCTAGTTTCATATAGCTTTTGAAGTCATAGAAAATATTTACACAGTGATTCATAAGTCTATGTTTTCCTTTAGGCTTCCTTTTTTTCACAATATATACTTTGTTTATTGTCACTTGTTTTATATTGTCCTAAAACAGTCCTCATGTGAAGGTTAAACAAATAAGTCTCACACATGCACACATACACACACCCTTCATATATTTAAAATTATGGAATGTTTCTAGCATATTTCACCTCTGTTTTCCAGAAAGCAAATCAAAATATCTCATTCCTTTGAGGAAATATGATAAATGATTAATAAAATCTCATGCTTTGTAGATTCTTAGGAAAACTCAGAATCCTTTCCAAATAATAATAGTTACCAGTTCTTGGGGACTTGATGGTATTTCTTTTTCTTCTCCTCCTCCTCCTTTTTAATTTTTTAATTTTGGAGTGGTAGTGATCAAACCTAGGGCCTTGTGCATGCTAGTTCTACTGTTGAGCTACACCCTAGCCCAATAACTCTATTCTTTGTACACATTACATCACTTAATTCTTTGACACCATTAAGAGATAGGCAGTATTCCTGTGCCAATTTAAAAGTGGCAAAATAAGCTGGTGAATTTAGTTGCTTTTCTGTATATAGAATTCAAACTTGAACCAACACTCTTAAACATTATTATATGATTATTCTAAAGAACAGAAATTATTTTATTTATAACAAATGATGATAATCACTTTTCTCTAGGTTGAACATGTTAAGTATCTGAATCAGAGGCAAACAGAAAAATAAAATCTGAATTTTCTCAGTGGCCCCTTTCAGAGTGATGCAAATTATTAGGAAAGCAAAACACTTTTAAACTCCAAGTAAATATAATATAAATTTTCTAATTCAAATTATTTCACGATTATACAAATGACAATGACAAATAGATATTTATTATATAAATTCTAAGGTAAAGGCAAAGCTGTCAGGCTACTCAAAAAGACCAAGATTACAACATATATATCACTTTTCATATGCAAAAATGATGATAATGTTTTATTGTAAAAGAATATGGGAGCAATTGTCCTACCACATAATTTTTCTTTAAAAATATTATGAACATACTGCCCCCAAAATTTATTCTTTAGCTTATAGAGAGAATAAGGCTATTCGTACACTTCAGGAATTAAATCCATCAGTCCAAGGATGCATGAATAAAATGTGAATCATTCCACTGATGGTGAAGGAGATGGTGATTCGTAGTATTCACACTTTGCTTAATTCATATGGTGACATTAAAGGAAGTGTATTTTCTAAGGTTTTCTGCTTGAGATGTTGCTTAGGAGGGAGAAACAACAAATGTTCCATAAAAGCAAACAGATTCAATTAAAACTGAAAGTATATTTGACATATAAGTTCGATTTCAAATATAAGACAATCTTCTGTCTGATCTCAAAACACAAGGAAAGCTCATATACTCATGAAATTATATGCAGTCCATAAAACTGTAATAACCATTGTAAATAACCAATTGTAATAACCATTCATAAAATGGTGAAGTAGTTTTTAAAAATCAAGATTTTAAAAAGTCTATATTTCATATTTTGTATTGATGATTATAGTAATCTTTATATGATATTCCAGCATCATTTCCAGATATGGTCCATATGTTCTTCAACAAAGATAGCACATATAATACATAGAAATGTATGTAGGTGTGTGTTCAGTGCTGTGGTCAGAGATCTCCCTTCCTCTAAAATATTGATGAAAAGACAAGATTAACATCCAGCAATAATTGTATGAAATAGAAAACATGTGACTAAATGTTAAAAGATGTGATACACAGACTGCAGGATACATGCAATTTGAGTGAAGAAAAGAATGCTAAGTGACAGAGGATCGTGCATACTATCTGCAGCTTCCTTTATATGTTACTATTTTATTGTTACTTGATACTTGGGTCAACCTGGAAAAGTTACTCCACTTCTCTGGGACTTACTTTTCTCTTGAAGATATATAATAATACCTATGTGAGGGATCTTATTTTAAGGAGTAAATTGTGGTAGGCACTCAGTATGCAATTCCAAGATTATGATGAAGATGATGGTGGCAAAAATCAGCTAAGTGGTAAAGACTGGAGCGTGGAAAGAATGAGGGCTCAATGGACAGTAGACAGAAAAAAAAATAATGTGATATTTTAAATGCTAACAAGATAAATATTGGATTTCAAATAAATAGAAATTGGAGGATGTAAAACTCCAAAAGTGGATTCAACTTATAACTCTCACAATTAAGTTGTTTTCAAGTAATATGATTAGAATTGGCGATGCTAATTTTTTTCACCATGTAATACAGGAATAGAAGTAGTTACACTGCAGGGGTTATTCAAACCTTTTTTTTTTTTTAAATTTGAAATTACTTTAGACTCACAGAAGAGTTGCAAAAGCAGTAAAAAAAAATCCCACAAATTTATCCACCTTCCTTTAATGTACACATCTTATATAATAAACAGCACAATGCTCAGGACCACACAATTAGCACCGACATTAACTAATCTACACACTCTACTTGAACTACGTCAGTAGTTCCAGGACTGTTTCTGTTCCAGGATTTGATCCAGGCTCCCAAATTCCATTTAATTGTATTTTTTTTTCTAAGATTACTCCAACTTCTGACAATTCCTGAATCTTTTTTTAATCTTCATGACTTGGACATTTTGAAGAGTACCCATCAATTATTTTATAAATGTTCTTCAATCTGGGTTTTTATTTGTTCCCTCATACTTAGATGGTAGATTTATTTTTGGTCAAGAATACCAGAGAAAAGATATGTGCATCTCAATGTGTCATGCCAGAGTTAACTTGAGGTATCTTATCTCTTGTGAGGTTGGCTCTGATCACTTGGCCCAGGCAAAATCTTTCAGACTTGTCCACTACAAGGCTAATATTTTTCTCCATATAATTCATAAATATATTGTTGGGGAATATTTTGAGACTTCACAAATATGTTGTAATCATACTTATTTTGAAGGTCATAGAACAAAACAGCATAAATATCTACTGTGTTCAGCAGGGCTGACTTATCTATTAGGCACAGTAGGATAATGCTTAGGGCCCATAGAATTGATTGAGGTCTACAGAAGAATTCAATTTTAACTTCTTCCAAACTAAAAACAAAAACATGGACATAATTAAAATATGTGTGTGTGTGTGTCTGTCTGTCTGTCTAATATACACCTATGAGACCAGCTCAGATATTTTTAAGGCAAATACAGTTGTAAAATGTAGTTTTAAATATTTTTTTTTTAAATTAGAGAAAGAAGTCCATAAAAGCAAAAAGGCTGGAGCCCACAAATACGATAATGCAGCCCTGGAATTCAGTTCTATTCTGTACCATTTCGTACCTCCTGGACAGAAGAGGGCTGGGCCACGAAAATTACAGGAACAGAGTGTGAGTCCTGCTGCAGCAATGCATGAAACCTGATGGCCCCTGTCTTTGCATTTCCTTAAGCACAAAATATCTTAATAGATACAACTAATATTCATAAAATAAAATCTGCTGAAATCACCAAATATTTTAATGGTTTACTTTCAAAATATCAGAATTGCCTCAGTCAATATTTTCATAGAATTCAATTGAAAAACTAAATTAATTGAAAACTAATTAATTGAAAAACTAAAATTAGATGCGGTTAAAACCATAGAATGTACAACACCTTATAAACTTTGAGCAATAATGATACATCAGTGTAGCCTCATCAATTACAATAAATGTATCATTTGGGTGCAGGATATAGATACTGGGAGCAGTTATACATACGGGATTGCCAGGCTCATCTGGGAATTCTGTACTTTCAGTCTCTTCTGGGAATTCTGTACTTTCCAGGAAATTTTGCTCTGAAGCTAAAGCTGCTCAAAATAATGCTTTAAAGGTAAAGTTTATTATTTTTTTTTTTAAAAAAGGAAAACTGTGTATATATAAAAGTAACATTTAGAAACCCAGGTTTAAAATAAGTTTTCTACTTAAAGCCATGTGATTTAAATACTTCACTAACATTTCTTTTAAATTTGATTTTTAGTTTGCTCATTTTTTTTCTCAGATACTTATGTGTCAAGGTATAAATAGGAAATCTTCTTAAAATTCCATGTCCATTCCTACTTTGTGGCATCCCAAACCTCCCAAGAGGATCTGACTCACACCCTCAGCATTATGCCAAGTGGTGTGGATTCCTTTCTCACTTCACTTTTTGGGCTACTAGAGTTAGATGCATGTGCTGTGGGGGACTCATGTGGAAGTTCAGCTCTCGGAAGCTGGTTCTATCAGCTTGGTGAGACTTGTTCTCTTTTGCAGAATCTGATGAATTGTTCTTCTTTCCCTTTCTCCCTCCCTCCCTCCCTCCCTCCCTTCCTTCCTTCCTTCCTTCCTGTCATTGTTTGGTAAACAAGTAGAGAGAAGAGGAAAGAAAAGGAAGCACTACAGGTAAGTAGGCTCTATGTTGTCACTGAAATACACATGGATCCATTGTTCAAGTATTTGTTACCCATTCTGTCTCCCAAGAACATTACCTATAATAAGTAGAGGGCAATAATTCTGAACACAACTTAAAGAGCACATTTATATTTAAAATATATTTCTTTATAAATAGAAATTATAAGTATCTATAAAAAGATAATTGAGATAATGAAGAGAAAAAGTTTCCTCCATAGGACAGCATTTCGTTCTGTTCTACAATTTATTGAAAATATTTAACTTGCAATATTGCTAAAATGCAAATAAGGAATTGCTAAACTTCTACTTTGAAAGGAAGTTTAACTCAAATGCCTCCGAATTGTAAATGTTATTCTCTTTAAATATTTCTTAAATCAGTGAAATGATTGGCTGCATATATACAAATTCATTTTTAATCCTCATGATTTTAAATTCTGCAGTTCTGTGATAAGGAACAGCAATCTGTATTCCCTGAGTATTTCTGAATGCTTTCTGATATATTAGTATCTAAGAATAAGATCTGTCCTCTAAAGCATTGTGGCACAATAAATGTTTCTTTCTCTTAGAAATCATGCATAGAACATGACAGAAGAGAGAATCAGCTGAGGTAGGTCCCTTTAATTTTTATTGATATTATGATCACAGGTGCATTTTTAATTATCTCACCACATTGCTTTCCCCATCAACTGTCACTAGTAATTTCATACAGCAAGTATCTTTCCCATATGACATTACTGAATGCAATTTAGATAATTTAGGATGCTTATAGATTGACAAGTGGCTTCACCTTTTTTAAAAATACAACCAAGGGAGTCAATGGACTTAGAAAATTAGATGCCAATCAGTTTTGCAACCTAGAAGTGAGGAACAACATGAGTAAGGTAATCAAAAATATGGAAATTTTCAACATTAATTGAGTGACTACTGCTATAATCATTGTAAACTATAGATAAAATAAATGAAGGAAGCAAGTTGCATTGGCAGAAAAATAGGGAGAAAATGTGATATACTGTTCTTTGCCTCTGTCAGAGGCCTTACAACATCCTCACTGATTATACTTACAGTGATTATATCCATGAACATAGGGAAGGCTCTGGATTTCTGGGCCCACAGAATGAGTGACTCATTTCCTGGGATTATTAAGTTACAGAAAAAATAAAAGAGTGATTTTTTTAATCATGCTATAATCCTCTCTGTGAAGATTTGCACTCAATTTGAAGCTAAAAAAAACAAGAATCAAAAACAACAATACAATCCATTTCCATTATATTTATGTTATATTACAAATGCTTTTCTAGAAGCCTCTACTTATAGGTCTTTTATGTTAAAAAACAAAAAATGAAAATAAATTCTGGTACTTGCTATCTTTTACAGATGACTCATTTTTCTGTCCCTTTTAAAAATTAATGACCAGGTACATTTTATATTAAAGTAAAAAAAGTATTTAAAACTGGAAACAGATAATGGGTTAAGAAAATACTAATGTAAAAATAACCAAAATATTAATTAATAAGAAAATAATTTCTAAAAATGTGGTATATTCATATAAGGAAATATAGTATGCAGTAAAAAAAAAAATATTCCAAGTTTTCTAAGAAATCTCCATACTGCTTTCCAGAATGGTTGCACCAATTTGCAGTCCCACCAGCAATGTGTGAGTGTGCCTTTTCCCCCACATCCTAGCCTACACTTATTGTTATTTGTATTCTTGATAACTGAAATTCTGACAGGTATGAGATAAAAATCTTAGAGTAGTTTTGATTTGCATTTCTCTAATTGCTAGAGATATTGAACATTTTTCATATATTTGTTGATTGATTGTATATCTCTTTTGAGAAGTGTCTGTTCAATTTCTTGGCCCATTTATTGGTTGGGTTATCTGTTGTTTTGTTGTTCAATTTTTTTAGTTCTTTGTATACCCTAGAGATTAGTGCTCTATCTGATGTGCATGTGGTAAAAATTTGCTCCCATTCTTGTAGGCTCTCTATTCACCTCACTGATTGTTTCTTTTGCTTTGCTGAGAAGAAGCTTTTTAGTTTGAATCCCTCCCATTTATTGATTGCTCTGTACCCAAAGGACTTAAAATCAGCACACTATTGTAATGCAGCCACATCAATGTTTATAGCAGCTCAATTCACAATAGCTAAACTGTGGAACCAACCTAGATGCCCTTCATAGATGAATGGATAAAGAAACTATTATATATATATATATATATATATATATATATATATATACATACACACACACACAATGGAATATTACTCAGCATTAAAAGAAAATAAAATTATGGCATTTACAGGTAAATGGATGGAGTTAGAGAATATAATGCTAAGCAAAGTAAGCCAATCCTCCAAAACCAAAGGTCAAATTTTCTCTCTGATAAGTGGATGCTGATCCATAATGGGGGAGGAGAGACAGGGGGAAATGGAGGAATTGTGATGGGGGAAAGGGGAGGGAGAAAAGAGAAGGAGGCATGGGGGCAGGAAAAATGGTGGAATGAGATGGTCATCAATACCCTAAGTATATGTATGACTGCATATATGGTGTGATATCATGTACAACCATAGAAATGTAAAGTTATGCTGCAATTGTGTACAATGAATCAAAATGCATTCTGCTTTCATATATACCTAATTAGAATAAATAAATAAATAAAATTTAAAAAGAAAAAAAGACACATTTACTGAAACATATACTAACATAAGAAAATTTTTAAAAAAATCTCATTATTAATAAATGACATATACTCTCTAATTACAGTTATACAAAGTTCAAGAATACACAATACTAAACCCATAGTGATCGTTCTGGGTGTTTGGGGATGCTCTGTATCAATCTGCAAGCTGGTTACACAGGTATGTACACATTCAAACTTTGTCATTTGAACTCTAGATTCATGTATGTTGCTAAATGTAGATCATACTATAATTTGCAAAGAGCAGAAGATATTAATGTGTGTGATGGTTAATACTGGTGAACATTCATTCATAACTTGCATTCATTATTTAATTTAGTCTTCGAAACAACCCAATGACTGACACCATTATTAGCTCCAGTTTTAAATTGAAACTGAGGTACAAGAAAGCTATCCAAATTCCCAAGGGCACAAATAATTAATGGTACACTACACAATGAAGATCAGGATGTAAACAGTCTTATTCCAGAGTCTACAGTCTTAACTAAGCTATACTGTTTCTTCCTAGTAGTCCTTATAGATATCTCTTTTATTTTAAAGAGGAGCTTGATTTAACAGACAGCAAAAATAGGATTGTGCAGAGAAAAAGAAAAGAGTCATTAGAAACACCAAAGCAATAGAAACGTACAGAAATAACTATAAAATTCAGTGGTTTCTGGGATTTAAATAATTTTCAGTTCATGAATTATACATATGAATGTGTAATGCTTTTAACTGTAAATATCACATTGTTCCCAAAGCGCATTCAAGATAAGCTGTTTGCCTACTGCAGTTTTTGAAAGATCAATGGATGTTAAAATGTGTCAAACACTTGTCATTTCAGGAATTCTCTACTTTTAAAATAATCTATAGTATATTATCAGAACACTTTTACATGTCCTGAAAATAAATATTATGGTAAAAAATGGAAGCATAATCCATTATCCAAGACTTTATCTCCCAGCATGATGTAAAAAGTAATAAAATATGGCCTATCTCTAAATAAAAATCAATTTTATACTTTAGGGTACTAAATTTACTAACATTTGGAAGAAATGTTTTAGAATTAAAACATAATATACACAGTACACTCCCTTAAATAATTACGAACATATCACCTCTATAGTTATTTGTGCCACTCTTAAATTTGTTCAAAGTTTGGCCTTGGCGTGATGGTGCATTACTTTAGACTAAATTTATTATGGCCTTGTTTCAGTGGGCTCACTGGGATTCATGTACCCTAGTTTGCTGAATCTGGTCTGCTCAGTCCATTCCCTGCATAATGATGAACACTTTGATTAGATATTATACAGTTTCCATATCTTTGCTCTAGAGTTCTATTTTTTCTTTAGTCTACATTTCTACAACAATCATTCATTTTCTTCCAACTTTATAACATCTTTTGCTTACTTAGCAGATAATCTGGTCTCCTCTTCAACAAAGAAATTAAAATAATCAAATATGATTTTTTTCAATTTTCTGTCATAATTCCACAAAATCCCTTGCATCCTCCATACCACTTTCTTCTTCCTTCTTCTAAAGTGGGGTCTTTCTAGTACAAGATTTATTTCTCCAACTATACTTTGGACCTCTAATCTCCAAACATCCCTCTTGTAGTGAATTAGTTTTGATTAGCTGTTGTAGGAGCTCCACTTTCCTTTTCTGTACTAGGTTCTTTCCACGGGCATTTACACCTGCCCAGAATTCTCCCTCCCTTGGGCTCCAGTCACTATGCAACCTCTACCTTAACATGTCCTTTCCTTTCATAGAAAACTTCCTTGAAAAAGTAATAAATATTCCTTTCCTCTACATTCTCAAATTAGAATCTAGTCTCAGTCTTCTGCATCCCCCTTTTCCCACTCACCACTTCACTGAAAATACTATACCAAAGTTCTCCTTATTGCTTTCAGTGGAGACTTTATCTCAGCTCCTTCTGATTTTCAGCATTATTTGATGATGCTGATAACTTCCTTTATTGATATTTCTTCCCTTAATTTTAGATATATTACACTTTCCTGGGTTCCCTGGGAGGTATTATTTTATTCCTGCATTTCTATAGACAACTTGCCAGTATTTTCCCTCACTTTCTTCTCAGTTTTTAAACATTTATAACATTCTTACAGGTTTCTGAACCATGTCACCATCTATCAATATACCATCTGAACCCTGGAATCCACTCCACTTAAATAACTTCACTCTGGTCCTCATATTTCAGATTAAAAATCATTCTTACAAAAGGTGTTGTCTGAGTGTGGGCTGCTCTCTTGAAGTGTAATGTTTCCTTTATTACAGCATTTATATTGTAAAATTGCCTGCTCTTTTGTCTGAATCTCCCATTTTGCTCTCTAGCTTCATGAAAATGTGGATCTTGCTTACTTTTTTTTTTCCCAGATGTATCTCCCCTATTTATCACAGAACCTTGCAAATGACAGGTACTCAAAATGTCAAGACATTTGTCTTTTCTGGTGCCAGTACCATATTAAGTATTATAGTTTAACAATAGAATAGAGCAAACCAGTTCTCGTTCATTTTTCCAATTCAACAACATCTATTTTTTTTTTTATTTGAGACAGGAAATAAAACATCCAATAGAAGGTGTATTACAAATGAGAGTTAAGAGGTAGAAAACTGGAGTTCATTCTTACTGTAGAAAACCTACCAGCTAGTGTGTAACACATCTTCAATCTATTCCATCAGAGAATAAAGGAGCTTGTGCATTTACACACCAATTCCTGTTTGCTATTGTTTAAGGATGCTGCTGGGGCAGATGTGTACTGAATTAGTAAGGGTAAGTTAATGTGCAGGGAGCCAATGTCGTGTGCTACAGTTGTTTAACTGAGATGTAATTATTAGTTATTCTGTTGCATAGGCTATAATATATAGTGCAAAATTTAATTGCCCTGGGAGGTATTCTTATATTCCTGCAGCTTAAACCATTGAGCAGGAAGAAAAGATTAACATTAAACAGATACATGAGGTGGGAGGGAAAGGGAGAGAAAAGGAAAATTGCATGGTAATGGAGGGATACCCTCATTGTTATACAAAATTACATATAAGAGGTTGTGAGGGGAATGGGAAAATAAACAAGGAGAGAAATGAATTACAGTAGATGGGGTAGAGAGAGAAGATGGGAGGGGAGGGGAGGGGGGATAGTAGAGGATAGGAAAGGTAGCAGAATACAACAGTTACTAATAGGGCATTATGTAAAAATGTGGATGTGTAACCGATGTGATTCTGCAATTTGTATTTGGGGTAAAATTGGGAGTTCATAACCAACTTGAATATAATGTATGAAATATGATATGTCAAGAGCTTTGTAATGTTTTGAACAACCAATAATAAAAAAAAGAATCCTAGCCCCCCAAAATCTGTGGAGTCAGCAAAAAAAAAAAAGAGAATCATGTCAGTTGAATGTCATCAGATTTTCAGCATCAATTAAAAATTATGATATTTTTTCTTATTTGAAATGTTAATGTTATATATTACATTATCAAAGCATCACTGTATTTTAAGTTTTATCTTTAAGTAATCTAAATAAACTATGGTGTCCTGAAGTGTTTTAAGATATTGTTTTTTTAGTGAGATGTATTTTATTTTAATATTTTATACAAGATCCTAACTGCAGATGATCTTCAGTTTTAATTTACCTTGTACTTAAGAATACTGTAGAAAATTAATAAAATATAGGAAACTGATATTATACAACATATTTCCTACTTCTTTACTGGGATACTGTGTGTTGAGCAAATATTAAATTTTATATATATATATATATATATATATATATATATATATATATATATATATATATATATATATATACACACACACATACACATACACACACACACATATATTGAAGCAAAAATGTAACTTCACTAAATATAGCTTATATTATAAATCAAAATATTTTCAATTATTGAAGTGTAATGGTATCTTTCAATGGTAGGAACCATATCATTCTAATGAATAATAACTTTCAATTTTCATTAGCTCCCAAAGTAATAACTATTCATTGTAGAAACATAGATAATTAAAATAATACTGAAAATCTATTCCAGCAAGCATATTTCCCTCAGATGCTCCTAATATAGTCTTGGTTCTCTATAATGCCTGTGGGAGATTTTCAGCTACGCTTGGGTATTGACAGTTCACTCTTTTAAAAAAGGGCTTTGTTTCACTTTTCTTTTAGGTTCAAACTAAATAATGTAAGAGATTATCTCTACTAATATCCCATATTTGACCTCCAAAGTTTAGGTTCTGTATGAAATGTATAATGCTCCAAGAATTAGAATAGATAGGTCTTTGCTAAAATAATATATTGTTATTAGTAGCATCTGAATATTTTTAGAAATGCTTTCTCATGTATGTTAATTTTTATGCTATTTTACCAATATAAGCAAAAAAACGAGGTAAATTTTCTTGGGTTGTAAGGCAATTGATCCACTACCATTATAATCTTCATGTTGTAGAACAGAGACAGAGCTCATTCATCAAATCTGTCTGATGTAACACTTTTGGAATCTGGGTCTCCCAGTACCAAGTCAAATGGCAATTCCACTACATTTTAAGAAGTTGCTCACCAATATACCAGAGGGCATTGCTTCTCATGCCATGACTCTTTGGAATATAGGTACCAGGATGTAATTCTTTGGAAGTGATTCCACAGTTTAGTGGATTAATGGTATAAGAATTACTTCTGCTTCTTTATTAATAAAAGCCAAACTGAACCCTATATATTGGCTCTGTACTTTTTAATATAGTAGTCCTCCCTTCTCCATGGTTTTGCATTCCACAATTTTGTTTACCTGTGACCAACATGGTCTGAAAATGTTACATGGAAAAGTCCCAAAATAACAACTAGTAAGTATTAAATTATGTATTGTTCTGAGCTGTGTGGTGAAGAGAGTTGTGGAGATTGATGTAATGGTGGCTGTATTAGATGATGATTATATTTAATACATGAACTATACATGTAAACGTGGTTAGAATGCTAAAGTTTATTTTACCACAATAAAAAAAAAGCAAAAGTAAATGAGATCCATTGGGAATCAATTTAAATATCAAGTCACTAGAAATTATCAAATTACTTCTCTATTTTATGTTTTGGTGTATGGAAAGTAGATTTGACATTAGAGGGTGTTTTAATTATTGTTGTTGTTTTTAAATGACATACTTTGGCAGAGCAGCTCATTATCACTTGCCCTCAACATGTGCGATAGTGACATGTATTCACTTTAACATCTGATTAAATTTATAATACAAATTAGTCCAAAATTAAAATGGAGCACTCTCTTGAGCGAATATTTCTATTTTGACTGATATTGGTGGAAGCATTTATCCATATGTCAACTCAGAACACAATTGATAGAAGTTGTTTCAAAAAGGGGCAGAAATAGAAATATTATCTAACTTACAAAGAAGTAAATATCATTTTTATGACCCCATCATTCAGACTTGTAGCAAGAAACAAATCACCAATTCTTGACATATTTTACATAGTGTATGATAAACAAAGTTTACAACAAAGTTCATTCCAAGAGGAGCGACATGATGGAGTGGGAACACTGGAATGGGCCCTATACTGACTTATCTTTTGCCTCGTCCTTCAGTCAGGACACATATCAGGGTCTCAGTTTTCTCATCTGTAACCCAAGAATCTCAGTTCTGTTGATTTACAGGTTCTTTTCAGCATTAAGATTCTGAATTTCTGTAAAATGAGTAATAGATGTTGCTTGTCTGAGATCACAGTTCCCAGTTTTGCACATGGGAAGGGGTCTTTAAGTGTTTTTATTGGAGTATGTGAGGAGCCAGAACACTGTTTCCTTACTAAGAGGAGTTGGGTCTTCTAGTTCTTCCTCTACAGGGGTGCCTATTTTATTCAATGTTGTTTTTGTGGTACAGTTGTAGGATTTAAAAATTAAAAAATAAAAGTAGGCTATCTGAGTGGCGTTCACAAGAGGAGAAATTATTTTATTGCTTAAGATTCCTCCTGTATTATTAAATCTTGTAAACCAAGTATGAATGCTGACATTAATGATGTATTGCACAAGTACAGCTTCACAGATAGAGATGTGACTTCCAAAGATCCAGAAAGATAAAAAGTAAATCCATGCTGTAATTTAAATCCAGGTTATAAACTTGTACTCCACCTGGGATTTGGTTTAGATTTGATAAATAATCATATCTTAGCTGAGGGAACTTTCTCCAGAGCCTTTCTTTCTTACCTCATTGACATTTCTGTAAACAGTATTTAAGAAATTGATATGAAATTCTGCTCGTTTGGCCTTTTGTCGTAGGCAGATTTACTGGGGGTGAGGAATGGAGAAAACTAAAACAACATATAAGGTATAATGTGGAAATACTTTGAGGTTGCAGAATTTTCTATAAATATTTATTGGGACAAATTTAAATATTCCATTAGAGTTGTCATTCAGAAATATGCCACTGATGTGAGCAATAAGATATTACACAAATAGAATAATGAACATGGGCCCACTAAAATGGAATGAGTAATTACAAGATAGAAAATAGTTTTTAAGTTAAATACAGAACTATTAAATAAATGGAATGTGTCTGAGTGCTTCACTTGAAGAAAGTGTCCTTTATACAAAATTCTCAATCACAATCAAAACAATATCCTCAAATATATAAATACTTTCCTTTAAACAGCATAGGCTTGCAATTTCTTTCTATGAATTGCTTCCTTTCAGCTTTAAAGAGGAAACAATGTAGCCATCATTTATGAATGTAAATGCACAGAATCCTTTATCAAGGTAACCTAGGAGAGGTGGCAATGGACCACAACCAGAAGAAAAATCCTATTGTCTATCTTCTGTGACAACCACAGACGCTCTGCTTCTAGAGCATCACATGTTTGTCATCACTGGATAGTACTGCGATGCTATCAAGGTCTCTGATGCTATCTGCTGTTTAGTGGGTGGAAACGTTAAGTTCTGACAACAGCATAACCTTCTCAGATGTGTATGCTTTCCAAGCACGTGAGATGATGAGCTTGCACTACTGCGTGCCTTTCACTATGCCACTCTATATTTTCTTCTGTTTGCTGGTACTAGGCATTTTAATAATATACTGTTAAACTCTATTTTATCAAAAGAAAATCTTTTATTACAATCTTGAAGATATGTTTCTTGTTTTGGCATGCCTGGGAAACTCTTCTTCAAACATCTAAACAAATTTTAAAAAGGAACAAAAATATCTTCAAACATTTAAAATGAAGAGATGGTTTTTGGAGTGAAATAGGAATTTGAAATGGTACTTTTTCATAAAAGCTTCTTATGGTGAATCAGACTAGTTGTGACAAACGCTGCACACTGCAGGCCCTCAGCATAGCACTTAGCCTGGCCTATCTCACAGCACAGGAGCTTCTGTGGTTGAGAGCACTGAATGAATGCATTTTAAAAAACAAAGACACAGAGAGTGTCAACATGCTCTAGTGTATACTACTCTCCTAACCAAAAATGACACATGATTTGCTTCTTTCATTTGACACTACCTCATAAATAAAAGATGAGAGTAATAAATTATATTTTGTAAACACTGTTGCCAAATAATAACTGCTGATTACTAATAAACCACAATGAAAACTGATCCATACAAAGCAGGGTGATGCTGCAGCAATAAGTATGTAGACCAGAATTGTACATTTGAATCAATCCTTGGACTGTTCCTTGAATATCAATTTTATTTGTATAATAGTTACTTAGGATATATTTACAAAATTATTCCTTGAGCGGAGCTGTAAAAATTGTCAAAAGCTCACTTTTCTTCTGTTTCTAAGTTTTATGTCCATTTCTGATATTTTTAACAAAAGGTACCTTTCATTCAGGAGCATAAAAAGAAGTTTTAAATATGTCTAACAAATTAAAATTTGCTCTTGTCTCCTGGTCTTGAGACAGGAGGTGATACCTGGCTTACCTTCTGCTGCAATCTACAATAAAACTGCACAAGGTATTTGAAGCAAGTATTTCCAGCATTGAACATTATGCTGATTGTGGTTTTTGAAGAACAACAAATAAAAGAAGTCTAAGTTTTCTTGGCTTTTTTTCCTGGGAGAATTTCCCTGACAGGAGCGCAGGGAGCCCAAGAACACAGCAG